AAGGCTGCAGCACTCTTCCATAATTTTGACGTTCCTAATGCCAAGGCTGCAGAAATAACCTCACCGCTAAACACGGGTATTCTTAACGCTAAACTCTACAAGGAAGGATACTCACGACAGGGATTTAATCGGACTCACAAGGAATAATAAGTGCTTTTCTCTTATAAAATATATTATTAAAAGACCTCTAATAGATTTATATAAGCTTTATCTATAAAATAAATATTAGCTTAATAGTCCTTAATGCTCTTATTTTAGTATTCCTTTCTATACTTCTTTTATTTCTCTTTATTATTTTTTAAAAGCTATTTTATTTATACTAATTTATATTACTAAGCATAGTTTTTGTGATCTTAAAGAGCTAATTAAAGTATATAAATAATATAAGAGAGTCTAAAATGCTTAATTTAATATTTATAATATTAATTTCAAATAGAGTTTAAAGGGGAGAAAAGATGTTAAAGTTGCTTATCTGTAAGCTTTAGCTATTAACTAAGTCATTTTGAGAGCTTTTAGCTTTTTTGATAGGCAGGAGATCCTTGAATTTGACGCTTTTTTAGCCATTTGTAAGCTGTTCGTTTTGCGATGCCATGTTTAGTAATAAGAGATTCTAGAGAATCTTCGCCGCGTGTTTGTGAGTTGTATGCTTCGAAAAATCGAGATTTTTTGACTGTATCAGCTTCCTTGCGCTTAGTAGCCCTTGTAGGAGTAATAGGAGGACTCATTTTGTTGAATTGATGCCATAAATTCGCGTAGAAATTTGTTGTTGAGTTGTTGATTCATTCCGGCTAAATTTCGGCGCAAATTGTGGTGCCCTCAATTTCTTCACCCCCTGTTAAGGGGGGGCGAAACATAAATATTGTTAGGCTGGCGCTAGTAAGCTTGCTCCGAAATAGCTGTTTTACAGATTATCTAATAATCTCTATTTCTCCATTTCTTCAACAAAAGAAGCCTCAAAACATTTGCCTAGAGAACCACAAACAGATTTTTGCACTGATACTATCTATCTAAACTTTTCTAAGAATGATTTCAGTTGGTCAACTTTATTATTACACAAATACAGTAATACAGAGTACGCTGAGCAGTCAGATCAGAGCTAATCGGACTGAGTGGCGCTGTATCATAACTAGTTGCTACTAGCACCAGCCTAACAATATTTATGCCCCCCGTAGTAGCAGTCATATCGATCAACACGTTCCGAAGTATTGCGGAAAGCCTTTGAGAAACACTATTTGTCTAAAACTGTGCTCGGAACAGTGCACATTGCGTTAATATAGTGTAGAGAGCTGAACTTTTTGACTTTCTCAGAACGTTTTCTAGCCCCAATCTCTGCAGATCTTTCTAGGGGCGGGAAAAGATGAGCTGACTAAATACTACAAAAGAAGATAAGGGAAGATGCTTGAAACATTCATCTGCTGCTTCAAAGGATTTGGTTCCTGAAAACAGCCTTGCTACTGCCGCTACTGCGATGGGATGTGTAAACATGCATCGTGATCCCAGGAATGGGGGCTGTCTTGTCGCCTCTGCATCCAACAACCAACATCCGCCCTCCATGCATGATCGAGAACCCTTTACCGGTGGTCTAGCGCCAATCACACTTCTATGACGTCTTCCTACATTAGCTTGGGGTCTAGGTATGGCGCAAACCTATGCATTGTGGGATGCGGCACTACAATACGTACGGTGAGTGATTTGGTCAGTTAACCAATAGCGGGTATCTGATGAGTAAATTGATATGATGCTACACTAGCTAGGTAGTACCTGGTACTTGATCGAATTTGCATACTACGCCTTCTTTTCGAGAGGCTCTTGGGTTTCTGGAAGTGTAATGTTGCGGAAGACGACCCTGTTGACCACAGGCTGGTGAGAGCCTCGATGAAGCAAGCGTCCTCAACAGGCAAGCAGGTCAAATAGCGCAACAGCGGCGATAATGGATCGGCGTATGCACGAGAAAAGAGAGGCACAGAAGATCGAGCAGATGGAGATGGAGGTGCAAACGGCAGCAGCGAGCTTCAAGCCAGGTTACCGCTTTTATATGGCTTTCTCATCACTGGCTCTTCTGGCAATGATGGCTTCATTAGATGGCACATCTGTCTCAGTCGCGTTGCCTGTTCGTCCACTTCTCCTTTTCTTCATATCCTTTCTCCTCTAACCTCTGTCCATATACAATGTATCTCTTCTTCTGCCGGCCTTCTATTCACCTCTAACTCTCACATAATGTCAACTCCAGATCATGGCAGTAGACCTAAACGGCACTGCGATCGAGTCCTTCTGGACTGGAACTAGCTTTCTTCTTACCTCAACCGTCTTTCTCCTTCCTCTCGGCGCTATATCGCACATATTCGGCCGCTTGCCGACTCTTACTTTCGCTATCCTCTGTTTTACCATCGGTATTATCATCTCGAGTGTAGCACAGAATTCAATCGTCATGCTCGTTGGTCGCACCATGCAAGGCGTTGGCGGTGGTGGGATAGTTTTACTAAACGACATCATCATTACCGATCTGGTACCCATGCGGCTACGCGGACTGTATTCCGGCATCATTGGAGGGATCTGGGCCCTCGGTTCTGTGACAGGTCCAGTCATTGGGGGAGCATTGGCATACAAAGCGAGCTGGGTAAGTCCTCCTATTTTGTAAAGTCGCGCACAAAGAAAATTGCTTGAGCTTGAGTCTTCAACACTCATCACGTACCATTTGGTTGTCACTCTATTTCAGACTTTCTGGCGAGTTATTAGGTATTATAACCTATCAGAAAATTGTCTCTGACCGTCTTCAATCCTCGATAACTGGGTTGGCATCAGTTCTCCAGGTACTGACGAACGTTAATGATACAGAGGTGGATTTTCTGGATTAATCTTCCCTTTGCTGCCCTGGCATTGGTCATGGTTCCCCTATTCGTAAGGCTGAAATTGGTGCCTGGCACGACAGTCCAGAAACTCAAACGTGTTGACTGGTTTGGCAACGCCATTTTCATCACCGCCTTGACCACCTTCCTAATTCCCGTAACCTGGGGCGGCGTACAATACCCATGGACCTCATGGCATACTCTTGTTCCTCTGGTACTAGGCTCGGCTGGTCTCGCTGGATTCTTCTTGTACGAAAAGTATGTCGCAAAGGAGCCGACCATGCGACTCAGTGTTCTTGGGAGCTACAATATGGCCTATTCACTGTTCGCCAATTTCATCACAGCCCTCATTGTCTACAGCTTGCTTTATTTCCTGCCGCTCTATTACGAAGGTGTCAAAGGATATGATCCCATCATCACGGGTGTTGCTCTCTTCCCCGCCACCTTCACCATCGCTCCTGTCTCGATCATAGCCGGCATCATCATCGCAAAGACAGGCGACTTCCGTGTCCTAACCTGGGCTGGCTGGCTCGCCGCCACGCTCGGAGGCGGCATCACATGCCTACTGAACGTGAAAACCACAACCGTGCAGTGGATCTTCCTTACTTTACCCGCCGGCGTAGGTCTCGGCCTTCTCTACACATCACTCACCTTCGTCAACCAGGCTGCCTCGAGCGACAGCGATATGGCCTTCGCGGTGACGATCTTCGTCTTCTTTCGCTGCCTGGGCCAGTGCGTTGGCGTCGCCATTGGAGGCACCATCTTTCAAAACCAGATGAAGCAGCGCCTGATGGCCGTTCCCGCCCTGGCCGCTGATGCGCTTGCCTACTCGAGAGACGCATCGCGTCTAGTCCAGCAGATCAAGGGATTGCCGGAGGGAGACAACAAGGCTGCCCTAGTACGGGCATACGCCGACTCTCTGAGGATCGTCTGGGCGGTCATGTGCGCGCTGAGTGGAGTAGCGGCGTTGGGTAGTGTGTATGTGAGGAAAATGAGTCTGGATCGTGCGCATCGTACCGAGCAAGGATTGGTGGGACAAGAGGCAAAAGAGGGTGTAGATAACGTCGAAATTTATGGCGTCGATATGGAGGGGAGAAAAGTGCGTCTGACGGATTGAAACCGGTCAGGCATCCTTCGAATTGAGGTAGCTCGATATGATGGCTGAGCAAGCACTGATCACCTTGTCTGACTTCTTGTTCTCATCACTGACCGACTGCTTGAGACCCAACACACACGAGCGTGTTCTAATGTGATCGGTCATTCTTAAAAATACAGAGATGGCGGGTTTGGGCTCATGCAAACACCCTTTGTTCAAATTCAACAATGCACTTCTGTTATATTTGTGCAATTCCCTATCCATCGTCCCAGGATTCAACGTAAGATTTTGCATAATCACCAATAAGCGAAAACTCACAGTATGGCAGCCAAACCCTACAAAGCGTTGCAGAGTTAAACTGTCCTATCAGCACATCTGCCTGCGCCTGTATTACACACCCAGGCTCTTTCTCCGTTGTGTCAGCAGTGAGGGATGAGGTTTGCTTGAGGTTTTCTTCGTACTCCATATTCGAATCACTCAACCTCAACCTCACCCTCATACCAGCGCTCTCAACGGTGCATCTGGAACGCAATTACATAGCTCTCTGTGACTAAACGTAGCGGGGTTCTATCGGCTTTACGGTATCCTTTAATTACTAGTAGTAGTTAGGTATACCGTTGTACTCTCTATTTGATAAGATGAGAAAGGAAAGGAAAAGTTTGAGTTTGACTGTAGACCAATCGTCCGTATGAATGAGCGCAGAGATTAGAGAAGAGATTACAGGGAACAAGAGTTACTAGTATCCATCCATCCATCCATGCTTCGTCCATCCTATCCTGTCTCTATCAAGTCCCCTACTCAGTCATGCCGTTTGTGCTCCAATGAGAATGCAAATGCAAGCTCCGCTTCGCCATCGCCATTTATCTATCCCACTCCGTAGTTAGTATTTATGATCTCGTTCGTGATGGTGTCACCTTGTCCCGACAGTAGTCCAATCCTGTCCTGGCCCTTCTCAGTGCCGTGCTCGAGGACCCGACCAACCCGCAAGCGTGTGAGTCACCCCTAACCAAAGAAGGCAGCAAAGTTGTAGAATAGCATCAAAATAAAGGAAGCAAACTCCGGAGAGCCAAGACCACACATCCTACTACGCAGCATTGGGCAGAAGCAACCATGGTCACTTTCGCGCAGTCCTGTCTTTGTTCTGGGGTGTGTCCAACGCAAGCCTCCCAGCAAGCAATCAATCCTCGGCAGCCGTCACACTGCAAAGGTAGCGTTGATGGGGATTGTCTGAACCTTTGGATTTCTCGCTGCATTCGCTGAAGATGATCACCTTGGGTTAGGTGGAGTAGCAGGAGGAGCTGGAGCTGTCGCAGTCCTTCCTCTTGCTGCGGCGGCTGTTGAGGTGATGTTGGCGGCCTGGCCAAGTTACCATCTCTGGTGATAGATATGGGGCTTGGCGCGGTCAAAGTTGTCATCTCCCTCACGGCCCGCTGTCGTCCTCGATCTCTAGAGTGTGTCAAGGGGCGGTTTATATACGTCAATTGACGTGTCGGGTTATCACTAATCGTCTCTCCTGCTGTTAAGGGCACTTCATTCATGGGGGGGGTGGGGAATTGTGGTTGCGGAACCGGAGGATAGCGTAGATGAGGATTCTTTCTAGTCAGTGATGCACCCAGTCCACGAGGAGTCTCTCGGGCTGGTAACGGTCTAGATCCACCACCCGATCTTGAGGAACCGGCTGGACCGGCTGGATGGGCTGGATCAGCAGGGGCTAAAGGGTGTCGTCTTCGCGGTTGTGGGGATGAATTTGGTGGAGCTGCACTTATTGAGGCTGCACTTGGCGAGGGTAAACTTAGTGACGCTGCACTTGATGGGAGGGAACTTAGTGAGGCCGCGTTTGACGAGGCTGCCCTTGGTGAAGATGAGCGTTCTGAGGCTGGACATAGGATGGGCGAACGTTGTGGGGGCGACCGCTGTGAGCGTGACTGTTGTGGTTGTGGAGGGGAATGTAGACGGTCCCCAGATCCACCCGATTGACTAGATCTAGGGGGGTCCCCGACAGAGTGAGACTGTTTGCTGGGATCAGATGACATATTGAAATCTCTTCAAGTTGCTTAGTTAGGCAAGTGGCTTTGATTCGTTTGATTTTGACTTTAAAATGTTGGAAAGTCCTAAGATAATCATAATAAGAAGTGATAAGTTTTGAGAAGTCAAAGAGAAGCAATAACGAAGAAGTAAATGTATTGAAAGATCGGGTGTCCAAACTCAAAACTTGATGAGTTTGGTCTCAAGTTTCATACTAGTAGTTAGTCGTGGTAAGATCAAAATTCACCCTTGATGTAGCAGAACCTGCACAGTATTTTCTAAAATAACCTCGTTTCTTGCGTTACTTACATGGCCAGGGCGCCTTCTCGCCGCTCAGCCCAGATAGAAAATGTTGCAGATTACGTTCAGGCGTTACTCTTGTCGTGAAAACCACGATGTTATTGATGTCCTCTCGAGGCGAATTTGGTTGAAAAAGGAGGTTTCGCCCTAGAGATTATGTTGCGGAATGGCGTTTGAACTATAGGAGAACGGTTTCACGCTCGCCAAAACAATTCCGGAAGTGTAAGAGACGCTCAGCGCATCGGTGGATGACTGCGAGCCAGAGTACGTGGAAAGAGAAGGACGTCTAGATTGATAACGTTAGATTTGTTGAAGCTGACTACTAGTACTACTCGTACTTGAACGGGACATTGCGTCAAGACTTGCAACTCAACAACGTTAGACCAAGCAATTCGGCGAAGTGCTTGCTCTTCGCTTGAGCATACTATCCTCACCTGGTCTACTTGCGACATTGGAATTCATCGAGGATAGAGGCTTAGGGAGACTATTGGATCCCGGTGTCATCGAAATCAAGGTCCAAGTCAGTGCAGGGGTACCGCGTAGAAATAGCGTCTGACAACCTGAATTCTCGTCCAGATCGAGTGTCCGCCAAGACTATTGTCTTTCCATCGAAAATATCCTGACTACGTAATTACTAGTAGTAATTTGTCAAATCCAAGGAGGCCGATATGATTTGATTTGATTGACTAATTTAACTTGATGGACCCACTGACTGCCAGTGGTGTCAATTTCCGGGGCTATTTGATTGCTCTTGGTTGAATACCCAGCACTACCATGGCTCTGAATGCGCCGGAACTGTTCTACAGGTCGGAGACCAGCGCAAAGATCTAAGCCAGGCGACAAAGTTTGTGCCAACGCGCCGGCACGTGTCAGACTTATGCCTGTTATAAAGCCGTCCATGCAATGCCGTACGTAACCTGAGCATATGTCCTTCCTTGAAGGCGCCGCCTTGCCTGTAGTGTTCATCACGGCTGACAATGCTCTGCACCACGTGGCGCGAACAACAGATGGCGAGTCCATCCTGATCCACTCTGGGGCTGGAAGGACTGGCCGGGCGGCGATCCAGATAGCTAAATTATTTAACCCTAATATCTATGTGACAGTTCGCTCCGACGATAAGAAGAGGCTTCTGATGGACCTTTATGACATCTCCGAGTATCACATCTTCTATAGCAGGAATGCATCTTTCACTCTGGGAATGAGAAGACTCACCCGCGAACGTGGCGGTGTCGCCATTGTGCTGAACTCACAGAGTGGAGATGCCATTGTCAGCACATGGGAGTGTCTGGCGCCGTTCGGTCGGTTCCTCGAATTGGTAAAAAGGTTATCCTGCAAACGGCTTCCTACCGATGTTTCCATTCGCCAAGAACGTTTCCTTACATGCCATCGACCTTAATGAAGCTTACCAGCATCGTTCAAGGTTGATGCAGGAAGTCAAGGATGACGTGGTGTCGTTGTTAGGTGGTGGCAAGATTCGGCCAGCTCAGCCTCCACATGTGTAAAGCATCGACGAGGTCAAGAAAGCATCCTGTGCAGCAGAAGGAAGAAATGGCTCTGTTCGTTCAAAAAAGCTGCGCAGGGCGCAGAAATAAGTACAAATTTGCTGTACGGCACAGCGAAATTAGCCGCGAAATTGCAGCAGAAATTGACCAATCAAAACGCAGGGATTTCGCGTAGGAAACGCGGCCAATGAGCGCTCCTGCCGCTGAACACATCCACATTTATTCAACCGGGAAAATGCGGGCAAGAATTATTGTCGAGCTGCGACAAGATGGTATAGTCAAGGTAAGCCGCAATCTTGGCGGTATGATGATATAGCTTACGGCCATTAAACTGTTCTTGATATTAAGCCCACCTGGTATTTTGGGCAGAACGCCAGCTACCTCATCTCTGGCAGCCTGGGAGAGGTTGTGGTGCCAGGGTATCCATCAAATCAAATGAACCAAATTTAGCGCCGATTTGGTTCATTTGATTCATTTGTCAAACGAGTCAAATCTTAGTAAGCAATAATTTTGGTAGGATAACTGTCAAGATGAATTTCCATCTCGCAAAGGGAGTCCGCCAAGACTTTTATTTCTTCAACAAAAACATGCCAAAATATGCCAAAATATACAACTTTTCTGCCAAGACCCTATTTGATTAATTTGACAAACGTGATTTGATTTATTTGATTTGACTAATTTGGGTTGACTGGATACACTGTGTGGGTGCGAAGAACCTCATTCGCGACGGCAAACAGCTTCCTTCAAGAGTTGAGGGGTCAGGGTGTTCATTTGGAAGTCCTTGCATGCGACATTTCGAGTTTCGGCCTTGTGAGATCGGTTCTTGCGTAACTGACCCAAATAATGCCACCGATCAAAGGATGTGTCCAGTCATCGATGATTTCGAGAGTGGGCCAAATATCTGAGCTCTAACAAAGTCCCTGCGATCGTTCATAGGACTCCGTTTTCGAGCAGATGTCCTACAAAAGTTTGACAGAGGCAACTGAATCCAAGGTCCAAGACTCCTATAGTCTATATGTGCTTTTACCCAAAGGCATGGATTTCTTCATCATGCTATCCTCAATAGCTGACGCAATCGGATCCATCACCCAGGATAACTACGCAGCGGGATGTTCTCAGCAAGACACCCTCGCACGTCATCGCACTGGCTCGGGCCAAAAAGCTGCAACCTTAAATCTCGGCGTAATGCTGGAGGACGGCGTCCAGACCGAGAACGCCAAGTTGCGCAATATCCTGTTGGGTACGGGCTACCTGATGGGAATCACACAGCGTGAGCTCTACGCCTTACTCGAGCACCACTGCGACCCATCGGCCTCTGTGCTTGGACCCCTGAAAAATCAAGTCGTCGTCTATGGCAGAAGAAGAGGGTGAATTCCTATAAGATGGTCTTGTTGCACGGGGAAGGCGAGGAGGGTCTAGAGTTTGTACTTGTACAAATTCCAAGTCTGCCGAAGCTATGACGTTCAACATGCCCTACTAGTGCGGTGATTCCTTATAAGCTAGCTATTATGCTTAAAAAGGTTAAAGAATACTAAGTTTCTCCTCCTTAAAACCTAATATCTTAACCTTCTATACCCTCTAACGCTTAAATTCAGCCTCTTATTACGCCTCTAACAGCTTGATCACTCAAAAAACAAGTGTTACAGCACGTGAACACGCCAAGCACTGACAGGCACTACGGAGCTGCCTGGCACTCTGCGAAGGGACTATGACAGACTTGGACAGGACTGGACCCTGAATTACACACATGGTCAGACCTGGACAACGTAATGATCAGAGGTGATCAGGATGAGCACTCATGAGCAATGATCAGAGGTGATCAGGGTGAGCACTTATAAGCAATGATTAGAGGTGATTAGGATGATCAACTCTAAGCACGAATCTTCTACTCTATATAAGCACGCTTATTTCCTAGATAGTTTTATAGTCTTTATAATTAATTTATATTATTAGCTTATATCTAAGTTAAAGACATCTTAATATTATTTATTATACTTTTTATTTTACTTAACTAACTCTTTAGACTTAGCTTTTAATTAAGATTTATCTTAACTAATTAAGCTTTAATACTTTAATTATTATTTTTTAAAATATTAAATATAATTAAATAAATATTATATATATTATTTAAAAATATATATTATATTAGTTATCTTAAGACTAATAAATATTATTATTATTAAAGACTAAAAAAGAAATATATAATTTAAAGTTATATTACTAGACTTATTTTATAAAAATAAAAAGAAACTTTAAGAATTCTTAAATTAATTATAAATTAACTTTTTATTCTATATATAAGTAGTAAATACTAATAAAAAGAAGATCTTATATATAGTTATCTTTCTTTAAGGAGCTATACATAACTAGTTTAAACTCTACTTTAAAGATAAACTTAAAGAGGTAATAAAGGACTAAGAACTAGATATATAATAGATCTTTTATAGTTTTGCTAACTTTGTAATTAAGATTAAACAAGTATATAAGAATGTGGACATAGTCAAGAAAGCTAAAAGAGACCTATTACGAATAAGGCAGAAGAGATCTGCTGCAGACTACACTTCCAGATTCTACTAGATTGCCTTATAAATAGACTAAGAGGACTCTGCCTTATCAGCTATCTTTTACAAAGGGCTAAAAGACTCTATTAAAAATGACCTATCTAAGATTAATTAACTTAGTAAGTTGTTACCTTTAATTAAGATAACAATTAAGATAAATAATTAAAACTATAAAAGATAACTTAAAAAA